TGGTTCGTTTTTTCCGTCGATCTTGTTTTCCGTGCTGAGCACCAATGCTATCGACGTGCCAGGAAGGCAGCTCCCACACCTGGACCCTACCTATCGACCCATCAACTCATGAACCGGGGACCAACGGCTTTACTTCCCATCCGAAGGAAGGCGTGATCAGAGATGTTATGCCTCAGAACATCCCGGCGGCGCCGACTGGGATTGAACCCAGGCCTGCTGGGGTGAGAGGTAATCACGCTTACCACTACACCACCGGCGCCGTTAATCGAAACATTCAGCACCGTTTATTCTCGGAACACCTTTTTACTCGGGACAAATTAATTTAACGTTTACTGTAGTTTTCTTTACCAACTATATTTGAGCGAGGTTTTATAAGCAAGAAGCTCCAGAATGTTAATTTCTTTAGCTTATATGGGTTGGATTAGTGGGAAAAAATTACTAGCCTTTTCCCTGTCTAATCGTATACCCATCTTTCTTCCGCGTAACTCGTCTAATTTTGATTAGTCATGTTCGATGTTCTTCATCAGTGGTCGTCAATGGATGTTGCTACGCTGGAAATAGGTTGACTCGCTCGGGACTAGTTGATTGCGTCTCGTACATTCTCCCCCCGTTGAAAGAGAGCTTTCAACACCTTCTTACCATCGGTACTGTTGACTTATCGAAACTTCTCGGGACTTCGCCTTCACTGTTAGTGGTTCAAGTTGCTTGATTCTTGAGGGTGGTTGTCGGCAGCATGTTAAGTCGTGAAATCGATCGCTTGTAGACACCTCGGGCTGTTCTCACTGTCACGACTCTAACGATGTTATCATTACCAGGAAAAAGTTGCTCACTCCGCCCCAGTAACCATTGTTGACGAGGAGCGTTGTCCTCTCGTACTATCACTAGCTGTCCTGCTCTCACTGGAACCTTGGTGTGCCATTTCGATCGTTGTTGGAGTTGATTGATGTAATCCACGTTCCATCTGCTCCAAAAATGCTGAACGTATTGTGTGATTCGATTCCATCGGGACAGGGTGTGCATGTTTTCATCAGTCAAGTCAGGTTCAGCAATAGCGTTGAGTGGTCGGAAGATTAAGAAATGACCAGGCGTCAGGGCGTTATAATCGGTAGGGTCGTCCGATAATGAACACATTGGTCTGGAATTTAATGTTGCCTCTATTCTCGTCAACACTGTGGTCATTTCCTCGTAAGTCAGTATCGCTTCACCAAGGGTTCGACTTAGATGGTACTTCAGCGATCTGACTCCAGCTTCCCACAAACCTCCAAACGATGGCGCACGAAGAGGAATGTTGATCCACTTAATGGTATTTGAAGAGTTCGTGCAGTTCCTTTAGGTTGTTGTTTGCTCCAACAAAATTAGTCGTATTGTCGGACATTAGCTTGGCACACTTTCCTCGTCGGGACACAAACCTTTGTAGCGCAGCGATGAAAGCAACTGAAGTCAGGGATCCTACTAACTCCAGATGAATTGCTTTTGTTGCTTGGCACACAAATACGCAAATATAGGACTTCGCACGGGTCGTTGATCGAATTGTTGGCTTCAGGTACACCGGTCCACAAAAATCCACCCCTGTGTTGTAGAACGGGTAGACTAACTCTACCCGGTCCAATGGTAGGTCGCCCATGTACTGGTGCAGTTGTTTCGGCTTGTGACGAAAGCATCGTAGACAGACGAATCGTTTTACAGCAGTCTTACCACGCTCAATCCAGAATGTATCCCGAATCATCGACAGAGTTAGCTGGTTGCCGGAATGTAAGTTTTCACGATGATACTCACGAATGACGGCTTCCGTAAATTTGTGGTACGGAGGTAGTATGCACTGATGCTTCATGTCGAAATGTAGGTTTTGATCCGCAGTCTACCGCCGACACGTAAAACTCCATGCTTGTCGATAAATGGTGAAAGGTTGATCAGTTTGTGCTTTGAGTCGATCACCTTTCCTTGCTGCAACTTGTCGATCAGCTCGGGGTAGGCCTCCCCCGGCACTAACTTCACCAACTGTTGTTAGGCGGCTGTCTTCTCTGTATTACTTATCTCCTCTGTTCTCGGAACTTCTGGCTGCTTCTTCAGAATACTGATGAATCTCTGTACCCATATCATAACACGAACCATTCGTCGATAAGAGCTGATGTTCACGAATATAGGGAATGATTCCATGGGTTGCTCGGCACTAAGGTTGACAGCTAATCGAATTTCAAGGATTTCTTCAGGATCTTGGAACTCCTGGGGCCACACAGCTTCGGTACTTGACAGGAACTCAGGACCATTCCACCACAAAGATGAATTTTGGAGATCCTTTGGCATCAATCCTCTCGATATGATGGCCGCTAGGTTGTCGTTGGTGCCTACGTGACGCCACTCCATAGTCGATGTCAACGCCTGGATCTTTGTGACACGATTTGCTACAAATAGCTTCAGTTGTTCTGGACGTCGATTGATCCAAGCAAGATCGATTGTAGAATGATATAATGGTAGCAGTGACTAATTGAGCTAAGAGCAGAGCACCACATAATTCCAGCCTGGGTATTGTAGGATCAGGCTGCGATTTTCTTGGGTTTGTGGATTTCTTGATAGGGGCCACACGTGACTTTGTGCATACTAGTGATACATTGACCTGACCGTTTTCTTTAGTGGATCTCAGATAGATGCACGCACCGTGGGCGTAGTTTGATGCAGCACAAAAGCCATGGATTTGGATGCAAATGGCAGAATGCAACGCCTCACCTTGATCTCTCGTAGACACCCCAACTGCGACTTGAAATCTGTCCATTTTTCGACGTCTTCTTTGTCAGCAACCTCATCGTAATTTGTCTCCTTCTTCCACAAGCTTTGCATGATGAGTTTCACCACGATGATTGCTGGCCAATTGGATCGAAGAACTTTGAGATGCTCGATAATATAGCCCGCTTCGTAGTCTCCGATTTACCGACGATGATGGAATCAACGTTGAACATGAAAACATCTTCGTCAGGTTTCCAAACAATTCCAAGAGCCTTAACCGATTGTTTCTCACCAACCAGCAACTTCTTCTCAATGCTGTCCTGAGGGAGGGTTTTCAGAAATTCACTGCTGTTCGAGCACCACTCGTGAAGCTCGAATTTGGCGCTTCCAAAAACTCCGATTCATCTTTCCGCTGGATCGCTTGTTCGAGTATTTCTGCTCCTGTTAAAACGTCATCAATGTACGAATCTTCAGCTACAACCTTCGCCGCCCAAGGAAAACGTGCTGCTTCGTCGATACAAAGTTGCTTCACTGCTCGAACCGCTTGGAATGGTGCACTCGCTAGTCCATAAGTCACCGTTTTAAATAAGTCGATTGGATTTCTTATTTCCTTGGGTGTCCACAGAACAAGTTGAAATTGTTGATGCTTACCTGCAGTTAATACCTGTCGATACATTTTACCAACGTCTGCCGTAAACGCAATCTTCGGAACTCGGAACTTCATCGATGTTTCATTTAGTTTGGATTGCATCACCGGTCCAACGAGCAGGTTTTCGTTCAGTGATTTTCCGTTGCTGGATAACGCTGATCCGTCAAAAACAACGCGGCATTTTGTCGTGCTACCGTCCGGCTTCTCGACAGCATGGTGAGCAAGGAAGTAATCGTGTCCAGACACGTAAGTTTCCAAAGGACCAACCTTCACCATATGCCCTAGACTGATGTATTCATTAATGAAGTCCTCGTAATCGCCAGCAGCCAATTTTTGCTTAGTCTCCTATCTAGGGCTTGAAGTCGTTTCAATGCCATCTGCTTCGAATCACCAAGATTAGGACAGCCTTGCTTGAAGGGTAATTCCACCACGTATCGACCATCCTCCTGACGACGGTGAGTCTCGACGAATTTTGTTCTGCTTGATCTTCTCCAGTCGTACACTTCGATTCAGTACCATAATCTTCCACTTCCCAGAAACGCTTCAGCAATTCATCCAGATCCTTGTTTGTGACCAAAGCAGAAACTAGTGGCTTCTTGACTTCCACTTTTCCACCAATAACCCAACCAAAAAGCGTTTGTTGCATAACAGGACTACCATTCAGCAGAGGGACCCGGTTGTTCTCCAAGACCTTCGTGTAAACATCCATATGGGATGTTGAAAGATGGATCTGCCAAAATTAGATTTTCAGGAATCATCAAGGTATCTACCACAAAACCTTCGAGAGGAAGATCTGCTGTTAACTAACCAGACATTCGATTTCGGTCTCGTACCTGGAGGTGCTAGAACGAATCGTGAACGCGTGAAACTTGTACTGGACAGTAGAAGTTTTACCGCAGACCCCAGAAACATGTACATCTCCCTTGGTTTTTTCACAGCCCAAGCCGCTGAACGCAGTCTTCGGTAATAAAGTTGACCATGGATCCAGAATCCAAGAGCACTCGGACCTTGTGTAACTTCTTGTGGTAATCTTCGACGTAGACGACGGCAGTATTGAGCAAAATTTGACGACGAATCGGAACGGAACGACAAGTTTGGGAAACAGTGGTATTCGACACAGGAGGTTCGGATGGCATCGGTTGTTCACGTTGACCTATGGGTTGTTCAATCGGTACATTCTCCCTCGGGACTACGGAAAATGATTGTTTGATTTCCAAATGCAGCAATGTATGGTGTTTCTTCTGGCAGGTTCGACACAAACTCCGATTGCATTGACTCGACGTGTGGTTGTTGGACAAACAGTTGAAGCAAAGGTTAAGCACTTTCGCTTTCTCGGTACGTTGTGGAGAAGTCAGCTTCAAGAAACCTTCACACTGGTTGCCCATAATTTGGTGCCGTGACCAGGATACTGGTGTCGACCGCGTGAAGTCGTCAGTGTAACCTCACTTCGACGCTATTGTGCCCGCATTAGAGTGGCCCAAATCAGCTCGTACCCACTGGAAAAATTGTTCCCGGATCGTGATTTTGAAAAAAAAGACCTCATTCTAAGAGGTACAAGGTGAGTACCTCTCCAATACCTCTACGTCCATCATCGCGGTGCTTCTTGGGTCTTTTTTTTTTACAATTTTAGCCTTATTGCTTGTGCCGTGTTTACGAGATGCCTGACGAAAAACGGATCAAGATGAAGGAGGCTAGAAGAAGGAATGCCATCGAAGGGATCAATCGATTGGATCAGTTTCTCACCAACTACGTTCCCGAGCAGCATCAGCATGAAGTTTCCCATCGATTGGATCGTCTGGAGAAGGTGTGGAACGTATTCGAGACCCTGCAGGAAGAATGGATGACTCCGAAGAATCGTTGCAAAACAACTTGGAGCTGAGAATAAAGGTAGAAGAAGTTTATTTCCGTGTGAAGGCAGGCCTAGCCACGAAGTTGCCGCCTACGACCATTTCTGCTGTTGCTGGTCCCTCTACCGCACCTGCTGCTCCAACCACCCTCGCCAATTTAAAGCTGCCGACGATATCGCTTCGATGGCGATTTCAACAACTGGCTGACATTTCACGATACGTTTCTGTCGATGATACATTCGTCCACGGAGATATCGCAGGTGCAGAAGTTCCATTACCTCCGGGCTGCCCTGAAGGGAGAGGCAGCCAACTGGATCCAGTCGATAACGATAACGGCAAATAATTACGCTGTCGTGGGAGACGTTAATGAATCGTTACTCGAACAAGGCCATTCTCCGGAAAAAAACACATCCGAGCCCTGCTCAAGTACCCGAATATCCAGAGTAACACCGTGGAAGCGCTTCATCGAATTGTGGACGAATTTCAGCGCCACACCAAAGTTCTGGAACAACTTGGTGAGCCAGTCGAGCAGTTTAGTTCAATCCTTACCGAGCTGCTCGAGGACAAGTTGGACGACGCTTCGCTTACAGCATGGGAAGAATCAATCGCAACGGAGGAACACCATTCGTACTCCAAAATGGTCGAGTTTCTGCAGAAGCGAGCGCACGTACTTGAGATAATTTCTGTCAACCGACCGCAGCATGTTAATCCCAAGTCCGTTAATCATCCCTCAGCTCCAAAGAAATCAAACCAGCCCCGATTCAGCGCAAATGCAGCAACTGAAATTGCAACAAAATAGTTCCCGATGTGCCCTGCTTGTAAGAGGCAAAAGCATTCCATTTTCGATTGCTTCGTTCTCAACGGTCTCGACTCGAAAGGTCGTATGAAGGTGGTTACGGATAAGAAACTTTGCAGCAACTGCTTCCGTAGTGATCACTTTGCCCGCAACTGTCGCTCGAAGTATTCATGCAAGCATTGCTCGAAGCGACATCATTCGATGATCCATCCGGGGCCATACGAGCTCAACTTGCCAACTACCGATGAAAATGCAGTATCTGGAGATCTACTTGCTGGTAGTAGATGCGTACGGTCAAGAGCACATCGTCCGTGTCTTGTTGGATACTGGATCCCAACCGAATGCGATTAGCGAGCGTCTTTGTCAGCAACTTCACCTGAACCGTAGGTCTGTTAATGTACCGATCGCTGGCGTAGATGGGACCGTTATGAACGCCAAGCATGAAGTATCTGCCGAGGTTCGATCACGTGTGTCCGACTTTCGTGAGGTGATTGATTTCCTTGTATTGCGGAAAGTGACCAGCGACACTCCATCCGTACCGTTCAACGCATCTGAACTGAAGCTTCCCAACGGTCTTGCACTGGCGGATCCCGACTTTGGCACACCTCGTAGGGTGGACATGATCATTGGAGCTGCTCACTTCTTTTCCTTTTTGCAGAATGGACGGTTCCACCTCCCAAGTCTCCTATTCGTCGAAACCGTGTTTGGGTGGATTGCCTCTGGAAAGATCGATGAGTCCAGCGGTAATTTCCAGCAGCCAATAGCAACTTGTCATGTGGCGACAGTTGTACCGGTTGATGAACTGCTGTAGCGATTTTGGCAGATCGAGGAAGTAAGCGGCTCAAATTACTCCGTAGACGAGCAGAATTGCGAGGATTTCTATCCGCAGACAGTTTCCCGAGATCCTACCGGACGCTATATCGTTCGAATGCCCAAACATCCCCAATGTGACCAGATGAGCCATGGCAATGCGGCGTCTACAGTGGTTGGGCTGGTGGCTGCAAAAGGATGATGAAATGAAGGCTCAGTATTACGCGTTCTAGGAAGAATATATCAGTCTCGGCCATATTGGTCTCGCTCGCCATGACGATAATAATGGATCAACCAATTGCTACCTTCCGCACCATCCCGTGGTGAAACAATCGAGCACGACGACCAAGGTTCGAGTTGTGTTCGATGGCTCAGCGAAAACTAGCACCGGACATTCTCTCAACGATGCGTTGCTAGTTAGGTCAGTTGTTCAGGACGACATTCTGGACATTCATCTTCGTTTTCGGATGGTCAAGAACGCAATAGTGGCGGATGCGGAGAAGATGTTGATGCACCGTACAGATCGGCCATTGCAGAAGATTCTGTGGCCACCCAGTAGCAGCGGAACCGTTCAAGCTTATGAGCTGTGCACCGTTACGTATGGACTCTCGCCGTCTTCGTTTCTAGCCACGAGAACCCTGTTGCAGTTAGCTGAAGATCATCGAAGTGAATATCCGAAAGCAAGTAAGGCACTGAGGAAGAATGTGTACGTGGACGACTTCATTACCGGTGACAACACAATCGATTGCGCAATCCAGTTGCGCACGGAGTTGATGCAGCTTCTGCAGAAGGGTGGTTTTCTTTTGCGGAAGTGGTGCTCGAATTCGCTGCAGGTCTTGGATGGTCTTCCTCCAGAGCTTCTCGGCACTCAATCTTCCATCAAGTTCGGCCCCGAAGAGACCATCAAAACCCTCGGCATCAGTTGGGAACCTGAGGCAGACGTTTTCAAGTTCGATACGTCAATCATCGTCAACAACCAAACGCCTACGAAGCGCACCATTCTTTCGACCATCGCCCAACTCTTCGACCCTCTCGGAATCATTTCTCCCGTCGTTGTTCAAGCGAAAATCCTCATGCAGCATCTGTGGCTGCTGGCACTGGAGTGGGATGTCGAAGTTCCTCCAGAAATCCGTCAGCAGTGGGTTCAATTCGCCGAGCAGCTACCTCAGCCAAGTCCAAGGTCGCACCACTGAAACCGCTCAGCATTCCGAGACTGCGGCTGTGTGCGGCACTCATCGCTTCCCGACTCTATGACAGAATTTCGAAGGCGGAAGGTGGACATAAACTTCTCTGTTGTAGTTTTTTGGTCCGACTCTACAGTGGTATTTCAATGGATGAAATTTCCCCCACGATCCTGGAAAACCTTCGTTGCAAACCGTATTTCCGAAATTCAATCCACTACTCACGGCTCGGAATGGTTACACGTAGCTGGAAAGGATAACCCCGCAGATCTCGTTTCCCGAGATCAGCTGAAGAATTGGACGCAAACAACTTGTGGAAGTATGGTCCAACCTGGCTGCAAGAGGATATATCACGGTAGCCGGTTCAACTTACGCAGGAAGACCAGTTACCCTCCGAGGAGATGGAAGCAAACCCGAACGTGATACTTACAACCCAGACGCTTAAGCCAAATTCATTGTTCAAGAGATTTTCATCGTACCCGCTTCTGCTTGGTGCAGTTGCATACTGTTTTCGGTTCTACAACAACACTCACCGTAATAAGGAGCACCGGAAGTCCAGCAGCGTCCTGTCCGCCACTGAATTACAGCACTCCAAATTAGCTCTCGTGAAGCTAGTTCAAGCAGAAACGTTCCCCGAAGATTTGAAGCAGCTGAAGAAGGAGCGAATGGTACCAGGAAAGTCCTCTCTTCGTCTGCTGAACCCCTGCCTCGATTCCGATGGTTTGATCCGCGTTGGTGGCCGGTTGCGCTTATCCGATGCACCATATGACGTAAAACATTAGATCGTTATTCCCGGATTTAATCCCTTTTCGCAACTTCTTCTGAAGCATCAGCATTGTAAACTCGTGCACGGCGGAATTACGCTGACTCTCGCTGTCGTCCGTGACGAGTTCTGGCCACTGAATGGCCGAAAATCAGTACTTAGTGCCAATCGCAAATGCTACGAGTGCAGCAAATCGAACCCGTAACCCATCCAGCAACCGATTGGCCAGTTGCCCGTCGCAAGAGTGACCGCCAACGAAGCTTTCGTTTGCACAAGCGTTGATTATTGTGGTCCCATCTTCCTCAAGCCGATCTACCGTAGAGCCACCTCCCGCAAATCCTACATCTGTGTCTTCGTATGTTTGAGCACGAAAGGGTTCACCTGGAACTGGTGAGCGACCTTAGCACGGCCGCTTTCCTGATGGCCATAGATCGTTTCGTGTGGAGGAGAAATAAGCCACAGCATCTGTACTCCAACAACAGCACGAACTTCATCGGTGCGAAGAATGCTTTGCAAGAGCTCTATGCCATGCTACAACCCGGACCTGACAACGACAAGATCTCCAAGCACCTCCCCGAAGACAGCATCCAATGGCATCTGATCCCTCCTCGAGCTCCCAACTCTGGTGGCCTTTGAGAAGCCGCGGTGAAGGTAGCCAAAACCCACCTGGTGCGTCAACTCGGTTCTTCACTACTTTCTGTCGAAGAGTTCTCCACGATGCTGATTAAAATCGAAGGTTGCATGAATTCCCGTCCTCTGCTGCCACTTTCGAGCGATCCAAACGATTTTGCTGCGCTCACCCCGGCGCACTTCCTAGTGAAGAACATGATTCGTCACATTCCCGAAGCCGACGACCGTGATGTACCGTTCAACCGTCTCAATCAGTACCAAATGCTCCAGAAGTACGCTCAAACTTTCTGGCATCGCTGGCGAAATGAGTACCTGAAAGAGCTAAACCTGCAGTATAATGCCAACCCGAAGCGCTACCAAATCAATGTAGGATACATCGTCATCGTGAAGGACGAATCCTTGCCGCCAGCCCGCTGGCCTTTGGCCCGCATAACCGAACTGCATCCTGGACCCGATGGCGTCACCCGAGCCGTAACCGTTCGCACCCCCACGGGAATCTTCAAGCGAGCTGTGTGCAAGATTTGCCGACCTGTAAGAAATAGAGAAGACGAGAAACCCGTCCCGGTACATGTAAACCCAAAGCCCGTCCCGCAAAATTTGCCGGTGAGTCACCCATACCCCAACAATGATGTTAGTAACCCTTGCGAGTTGATGGATGGTAGAGTGGCCTTTCCAAAACCCGAATTGCTCTTTGAGAAAGATCAGGCATAACATTTGAAAACGGCACAAAATCATTTGTAAACAAACTTTCTAAGGCCCTTTACATGCGAACCAAAGTACGCCCATGCAAACCAATAACATCATCGGATAGGGACAACTATCACCTTTCCGAAAGTGGTATTGGTTTGCGTG